TCGTTTTTCTCTCTTGGCGGCCCAGCTCGGTCCAGCCATCCAATTGTAATGAAGGGCCTCCGGCGGGGACCAGGGGCAGTAGTCGGTGCGGTGGACGGCAGCCAGTGCGATAGTCATGCTCTCCCCTCTCTGTCTCTCTGTCTCTCTGTCTCTCTGTCTCTCTGTCTCTCTGTCTCTCTCTCTCTCTCTCTCTCTCTCTCTCTCTCTCTCTCTCTCTCTCTCTCTCTCTCTCACGCGACGAAAACGACTCTCGGAATCGGTCTGCTGGTTGTTGGACGTGTCGCTGCGCTTCACTTACCCTCCCCCAAGGCTCCAGTAAAGAGCGTCGTCCCACCCGCATGGCTTGGCATGGCCCGGCCGGGAGCGCAATGCAATTCCCTCTGAGGCCTGTCTGCCTGTCTGCTTGTCTGTCTGCCTGCCTGCCTGCCTGCCTGTCTGTCTGTCTGCCTGTCTGTCTGTCTGTCTGCCTGTCTGTCTGTCTGTGGCTTTGCCTCCGCGTGGGCGCAGGGCCGTGCCGGGCCATTCATCAGGCTCAGGACAGGTAGCGCGGTCGCTCAGCGAGTGGAGTGGTTCGTCGCGCAGACGGCAGGTGACACTCGCACGCACACGCGTAACACACAAACCAAACAAACACATACACGCCAAAACACACACGAGAGAGAGTGGGGGGGGAGAGAGCGGGGGGAGGAGAGAGAGAGAGAGAGAGAGAGAGAGAGGGAGAGGGAGAGAGAGAGCGGGGAGGGAGGGGAGGGAGGGAGGGAGAAAGAGAGAGGGGAGGGGTGCACAACAGACATACACGCACATTTCCTCATCAAGTTCAGTGGGTTTGCTAGCTAGCCATAAGGACAACCCTAGCCAACACGGCCGAGGCCCTACTGGGCGACCGGCCGGCAGCAAGTCACTTTTCGGCATTTTCCCATTTATTTTTGACAGTGCTGCAATTTGGGGTTGAATGTTCGCCGCCGGTTTGTTGACACCTGTTGTTGTTCTGCGACGCAGTATGGCCGCGGAGAGGGGCGAGGCCGGTGAGGCCGGCGAAGCGGTGGTGCGAAAGAGGAGACCTGTTGGCCTGCACGTCCACTGTCAGTGTCTGTCTGGCAAACCGTGGAGGTAAACAGCATTTCCCTAGCGCTTTGTTTTCCCACCGCGCAGCGGAGAGAGATCCCACCGAAGTTCATAATCTTCCCGCGCGGCCGCCACCAAGTTTTCCCTCGAGGCTTTAGAATGCAATTCGAATAATTAGTTGCGAGAAGAAGGAGAGAAAAGCTGTACTAGCTGTCCCGCTTTGCTCGCTGAGCCACACACTGTAAAAATGAATCTTCAAAATTTAAAATTTTAATTTTTAAGTTCTTATGAATAAATCTTAATGAAGAGCTCATAGGACACTCTCTTAGTCACAATAATGTTTTCTGAGAAAATCAACCTTTTTAGAATGGTCGATTTGGACGACTTGATGTTTTTTGGCAGTGCAGCGCCGTGAGCTGCGAGAAATCCGAATCGTGTGAGGGAAGGTGATCCAGTGCGGAGTGTCGGGGGTGTCCGGCGCGGTTTGGGGGCGGATGGCCGATGGCTTGGCCGATGGCCGATCGGACCAGATCACCACAAAGAGAGCGAGAAGCCCGTAATCCTTCCCGAGGGGGGGGGGATTGGTCGTTTCGGTGGCGCCCCTACACTGCGTGATCTGATTGGTCGATCCGCGATAAATTTCTCCTCTCACCGCGCCGCGCCGTTCGACGGACCGGGAGAAGAGCCCCCGGCTGGAGTGCCTGTTGGACGACCGTGGCGGAGACGGACCGCTGGTGGCGCCTCGGTCGCTCAGCCCCACTGCACTGGAAGCGGAGTCGCGCTGGCGGTCCTCCTGTTCGTGTCACTTCTACGCTGCAAAAGCACATTTAAAAAAAAATTCTAAATTGTTTTTTGAGACGGCAAAATAAAAATATCAGAATTTTTTTCAAAAATTAAAAAATTGTTGACCCACAGTACAATTAGTCAGGTGTTGTTGTTTATTTTTAAATCTAGGTTTTCCAGTGAACTCGTAAATACTGGAGAATGCCGGCCGAAGGGGCATAGTCGCTGCGGGCGCGAGGAAGCCGCCCTGAATCCCGGCCGGCCGTCGCGCCTAATAGAAACGAAGACCTGGCCGGCCGCAAAGGCGCGGGGGCGTGGCGGCGCGGAGGTGGCGCGGGTTCGCGCCCCGGCTAAGGCGTCGCTAAGCCCCCTGGCTGGTCTGCCCGGCCTGGCAGCACGGCGAGCCTTGAGCCCCACACTGCGAGTCTTATATTTACTGGAAATTAGATTCCAGGCGAGCTGCACCGCGGCCAGGCCTTCCTGGCCTTTCCAGGCGGACGGCAAGGTCGCGCTCGCATCGCAGTGTGCCCCCCCGCATTCTTCGCAACCGTGTCCCGCCCGACTTCGCCCCAGGCGCGGATCCTGTAGGGGGGGGGGAGATAACAATTGACCTCCCCTCCCTTCGAGGTCCCCGAAGATCACCGCATGAAACCCTGTCAGAAATGAATCGGGAACGGACGACGGTGCCTCTGGAAGAAATTTAGCCCTGCTTCGTAAATTTACCAAGATTCTTTGTAAATTCGCGGAGAGGTTTCGTAAAGTGACGGGGATTCTTGGTACGTAAATTTGATCCGTGACGGTACATGATAATCTACATAGAATCCGCCACTGCTGCGTCCCTGCAGATGCATCTCCCTATCCTTCTCCTCGACACCTGCCATGGACCTTTCCCCCTCCGCCCCCTTCCCACCCCACCATTCCCTACCTACCTACCCCCCCCCCCCCCCGGGCGTTCCCGAGTGGGATTCAGCAGCTTGCTGCTATAAATTCGTGATGAGGTTTGCTGTGGCCGCTTTCCAATTACCAAAAAGGCCAACGGCGTGGGAGAGAGAGAGAGAGAGAGAGAGAGAGAGAGAGAGAGAGTGAGGGGGAGGGGGTTAAAGGTACAGGCGTTTAGTTGTTTTTCCCAGCGCTGCAGCGCAGCACGAGTCGTTGCCCGGCAGCATGGAGTGGGCCGTAGGGGTGCGAGGGGGACAGAGCGAGGAGTGCTGGCGGCTGCATCGGCCCCGCACACCGCGTCGCGCCGCGTCGCCGCCGTGCAGCTGTGCAGTCCCGCAGCCCCGAGGTGCAGCCGGGCCTGCCTACACTGCAAGGCGGCCAGCCTGGGACCTCGGTCGCCTCGGCCACTCACCACGCCGCCTCCCTCTGCTCTCTCGCACCCCGAAGGCACCGAAGGGCGCATGCGTGGCGTCCCGTGAGTGCGAGAGAGACAGAGCGACGTAAACGACTCTCGAAATCGGTCTTCCTCAGAGTGCAGCACCGCGGTAAAAATAGTGGCCGCCACGCGCCGGCCGTGAAGCGCGCGGAGCGATGCGGAGCGAGCCTTGGCAGAATCAAGGCCGTCGCTCACGTCACTCACTCATCCTGCAGACTGATGCCGAGGGACGCTTTCGTCGCTCTGTCTCTCTCGCACTCACGGGCCGTGCCGCGGCGGTGCGAGGGAGACGGAGCGACGAAAAGCGATTCTCGGCATCAGTCCGCTGAATAAGGAATAAGGCCGGACGCGCGTGTCCTTGTGCTTCCCGCCGGCATAAATTAATTATCTTCTTTTTTTTTCGCGATGTTGGCAGCGAGTGCGCGCTCCTTTCCTCGCGCCACCCCCGTCGTCGGTTCGCCGCCCTGCGCGTGTGGCGGCCGAGAGAGAGAGGGGGGGGGGAGGGAGAAAGCACTGCGTCACAGTCTGCGGCGCTCTCTCTCTCTCTCTCTCTCTCTCTCTCTCTCTCTCTCTCTCTCTCTCTCTCTCTCTCTCTCTCTCTCGGGATAAGGCGCAGATAAATTTGTCTCTTTCGACGTTTATGGGGGTGGCTGGGTGGCTGCACCGGATGGAGTGCAGTTTTAACGTTTCCCTTGTCTCGTTGATGATGATGCAGAGGGGGCACGGTGCCAAGTGGGACTCGTGTATGGTCTGGGTCTGTGTGTGTATGTGTGTGTGTGTGTGTGTGTTGTGTTATTGTCTACATGTGTGTGTGGAAGGGGTGGACGGGGTACTTGATGCTATTCTGGTAGTGCAGACACTCAAGGACTCTCCAGACCTTTAATGATCAGCCCTCGAGGACGCGCAGTGTGCCAGAAGACCGGTGTAGGCGGTCAAAATCCCGTATGTACGGCTTTTTTAACAGTGTGGGCGGAGCTTTCGAAGCGTGATGGCTAGCAAGATGGCCTGCGAACAAGGGACTGGGCACCGGTTCGGGTAATTTGGCACAAATACAGAGATCTTGCCCCGGACTGGTGCATTAAGCGTCTCTGGTCCGTGCAGTTGAATTCCTGATTCCCGGCTGGCAGTGATTTCCAGACGGCTGGGCCGGGCCCAACCTCGGACTCATCTCCAACTCCAAGCCCCACCCTCAGCTCCCCCAGTCAGCCATCTGCTCCCCGTCGTCGACCCAGCAGTCCCAGCAAGTCTCCGCGATGTCCATACGCCTCTGTGGCCCCCGCCGTGTAATCCTCCCGCTCATTCATGCTGCCTACCCTTTCCTTTACAGCCCACATCTTCCCTTATGAACACCAACATGCCTCCTCCTCCCCTCCTCCCTCCCCCTCTCTGTCCGCTCCATATCCTCGGTCTGCTTCTTCTCCACTCCGAAGGGCGCCCTCCCTCCCCTCCCACCCCAAGGACACACCCGCGTCAAGGAAAAAGGGCGGTAAACAAAGGGGAATAATTTGGAATCAAATTAAAAGTGAAGGACAATCAGATTCTTGGATCTGCAGACGGTTGCCCCCTTTTCCATCGTGCTGTCGTTCAAGGCTCCTGTCACTGTGTTTTTCCTCTTGAAATTAAAAATTAGCATTTGTTTGTTGTCGAGCATCGTTTTCACTTGCTGTCGCATTAATCCATCGTCCATGTCAACCCAAGTGTCAACCTTTTTTTAAAAAAAAATTAACAGTGTTTGTTTTGAAAATATTATCTCAATGATTGTTTTTGTTTGTTGCAGGACGCACCGCGTGGTGGCGGTCGGTAGACAGCCTGCGGAGCACAGCGATGAGCGGCCAAGCAAAGGTGGGTAGGCCCCGTCGTCGCCGCGATCGCCCTGTCTCTCTCGTACTCATTCGGCGTCCCGTGGAGGGCCGAGAGAGACAGAGCGACTTCCCTCCGTCGGTCGCCGCGGTCCCCGCCAACGCAGTCGCGCTTGCCGAGCTAAAAGTCGTTTCGCCGCACTGGTGTCTCCGTCGCACTCACAGGGCTCGCCGTGAAGGTGCGAGAGAGGCAGAGCGACCTTCTGAATCGTTGCGCACGGCCTCGCCGACCGCAGAGGGAGGCAGAGAGTCAAAGTCTCGCTGAGGCGACTTAAGGATGTTGCCTCTTCTTAATTCCCTCCGACCGCCACGGCCGCCTTGGCCGCCTCGGCCGCGCGGCGCCAAACTCTGACGGAAGTCGAGGAACGGCTCAAGACCGCCGGGCGGGGGAGGCGTCCCCTCCACCGAGACGCACTTGTTGGGCTTGGCCAGGCTCGGCCCGGTGCGCGGGACAAACTTAAATTGGACGAGAGGGCAGAAATTAAACGGACCAGGCAGGCCGCCGTCTTCATGCAGACTGATTACGAGAGTCTGTTTCGTCGCTCTGTCTCTCTCGCACCGACAGTGGACGCCCCAGAGGGTCATGCTGGCGCGTGCGGCACCGTAAATAACCGCGGACCGCGACACGACCCACCGCTTTTATTTGACGGACAGCGCGAAGCAATTCTCAAGGTACACGGAAAATGGCGGCAAACCTCCCCCACCCCACCCCGCATGTCCGTTACTCACTTCACAGACTACGTAATCCCCCGCGAGCAGAAAATGAAACAAGATGTGAAACGAGGGGGCGGAGAAGGGGGCGGCGAAAAGAAACAGAAATAAGGAATAATGAGATAAAACAAAGCCTTCTCATCTGCGGCTGCCTGCCCCGGCGCGGTTAAGTTTGAGGGACTGATTCCAAAGAGTCGACAGGCAGTGAGTGACTGAATGTCACTCTCGCGGGGCGGTAGTCGTAAGGGTGCGAGGGAGACAGCGCGCGACGAAATACGACTCTCGGGAATCGCTCAGTTGGGGATGAGGCCGAGGACGCACCCGGGGCCGGGCCCTGCCTGGGTGGAAGATCCCTCTAGGTGAACGTGATAACGGAAATAGCGGGGCGGGGCTGGTATTGGCGCGCTGCCCACCTGTTGACGTCACCTTTCGCATGATGCACGACGCTCCGGACGGCACCGCCGCCAGTCAACGCGGCGGAGCGCGGCAACGCTTCGGGCCACGCCACCAACAGGTGAACCTTCCGCCGCCTCGCGTCTGCAGCACAGCCAATGGAGGACGACGACTTCTTTCAAGCCCCAATCGAGCATCGACCTACTTGCGCTGTGTGTGTGTGTGTGTGTGTGTGTGTGTGTGTGTGTGTGTGTGTGTCCGGCCCGTACTTCCTAATGGGAGTGGCGTGTGTCGAGAAGGCAGATAATCGCGTAATGACTGGTGGTCGTCACATGTGGAGCGATTATACCACGGCGGGCTGGGCCAGGGCTGGGCCGGCCCCGCGGGAGAGCCTCCCCCCCCTCCTCCCCCTTCACCCTCTCGCCGTCACCGGCCCCTCGCACTGCATGTTTATGGAGCATGCCGACAGGGCTGTCTGGCTCAGTCACTTGGGTATATGGGACAAGCGGGGAGTTGCGGGCGGCCCGAACCGGGCGGCGGCGCGGAGGTGGAGGGGTGGGGGCACTCTCTCTGGGGGGTTCGGCCCGGCAAAATGGGGTTGTGGGGGGTCGCGCCGGGCCCGGAGCCCCCGCGGCCCCCGCTCGGTGCGTGCGTCTGGTGCCCGGCGTGAACCCCCACAACCCCCACTGCCTGGCCGAGCATATGCTGTGACTACGCGCGCGTCGGTCGTGCTGTTTGTTTGTGTGCTTGAAGCATCGTGGGCGTGGATGACGAGGATGGTCATGGACGTATGGACGCGGAAGCCCCTCCTAGGACCAGCGAAAACGAAAACGCGAAAAGGAAAACGCGAAAACGAAAACGCGAAAACGAAAACGCGAAAACGAAAACGCGAAAACGAAAACGCGAAAACGAAAACGCGAAAACGAAAACGCGAAAACGAAAACGCGAAAACGAAAACGCGAAAACGAAAACGCGAAAACGAAAACGCGAAAACGAAAACGCGAAAACGAAAACGCGAAAACGAAAACGCGAAAACGAAAAAGGGAAAAAAGGGAGAGACAGACAAAGGAAAGAAAACAAAAGAAAAACCGGTGCAGCCCCGCCACCGTGACGGGCATCGCCATTAAGCCGCGTCGTGAATGGGGGACGGTCGAGAGTGCGCCGGTTTGGTTTTGCTGCCCCTCTCCTGTGCCATCCACTTCACGTGACAACGACACGACGACTTTGGTGACAAGTTCCTGCATGCGCCCACCAATTCACTGCAAGTTCCAGTGTACGCTCAGTAATCCACGGGGACTGTACTTAAAAGCACGCTCTGTGCGAGCTAACAGGGGTGGATCCAAAGGCGGCCTGAAAAAAATAGGTTGGGGGCACTTGCTTACAAGCTTGATGTGGAGATCTCGAGATAAAGATATCGACATACAAAGATAGGGAGATGTGGAGATGTCGAGGTATCGAAATTTTGAGATGTTGACATCGAACTGTTCCAGATGGCGCTGCTGTGGCTGCTGCTGCTGGCGCGGGCCGCGGCGGGGCTGGGCCACTTCGGCAGCTACAGCGAGGACGCCACGCCGGTGCTCTGGAAGTGCAGCTCGAGGAACGGCACGGACGGCCACCTGGGCGCCGTCGTGGAGGTGACCTGCAGCTGCGACGGCGCCAACATGACCCACGTGCCCGCCACCATGCCGCGCATGCATCGCCTGTGAGTAACCATTCGCCCTTCAGGGCTTTATGGGGCATTCAAATTTTGCCCAGAAACATAATTCACGCTCCTTCCGAGGGCATGAAACGCTTCTGGCCGTGGAGGGTCGGAGTCGGTCGCGACAAAGGCAGTGCAGTCCCCTTCCGCCCCCAGGGTGTCGATGAAGATGACTCAAAAAGGGCATGCCCCAAAAGGGTCGCCCCAAAAGGGTCGTCCCGGAAGGGTCGAAGTGTCGGGCCGCTCGGAGGCCTGGTCCGGCTGTTGCGTCTGATGACAAGGCCACCCCGTGCATTACGTCACGGCCACGTAATAAGTGCCTCCCCTTCTGGTGGGGTGGGGCTCCGCTGCGACGTATCGTCTGATTGGCACTGCGCCCCGCCTCGAGCCCTGCTTACACCGCCACACGGACATCAAGTATAGCACACGCTAAATGTTGAGGTGGGATTTTGTACGAGCAACTTGCACGATTTTGTGCATACGTGGAGCGTAAAGATGCATTCGCGCACAATTTTATGCACGACGCACGTAAAAAAAGAATTTGTTGTGGCAACGAAAATGTATGTTGATTTTGGGATAGCTAAAAAAAGTTGTTGGGCGTACTACCAATTTGTTGTCTGAACGAACATTTCGTTCTGACAACGAACTATATCGTCAGGAGTACTAAACACAATAAAAATGAATGTTTGTACTCCTGACGAATAATTTGTCGTGAGAGCAAAGTGTTCGTTCTCACAACAAATTTATAGTACGTCTAACAACTTTTTTTTTGCTATCCCAAAATCAACATACATTTTCGTTGTCACAACAAATTCTTTTTTTCCGTGCGGTACACAGGTTTAAAATAATCCATCTCCACGTACAAAAGTGTACATAAACATTTAGTGTGTATTTTAAAAAGGGCAAAAGGATTTTGAGCCAAAACTATTTTTTTCTAGGACAAGTAAAGTGAAACATCTAGGAGAATGATATACATTTCTTTTTCTCGGTGAATAATCGGAGCGTCTAGATTGCTTGTCAAATTCCTCCAGTTGCATGAACATGGAAAAGAGAAAGGGTTTAATCATTTTCCCTCGAATATATACAACAATATAGGTAAGTAAGTGGGGAACACTTTCTAAAATGAAACGAAAACGAAAGTTGCTGCCAAATATGGACCCCTAATCACCCTAAACGACTCGCAACACTGACCGCGCGTCACGTGATACGTCGCACGACACAACGACAACTGTGCCGTAATTGTTGTTTGCCTTTGTAGGTTGACAGAACGTGACACAGGTCAAGCGTGTGTGTTTGTGGTTTTTTTACATGACAGTGTGTGTGTGTGTGTGTGTGTGTGTGTGTGTGTCGATTAGGACACCAACACCTCCACAAACACACCGGGTCGCCTTACCCATTAAGACTAAAAGCAGGCTGATGACTCCACCGCGAGGACCGCAAGGGCTGGGACGGGGAGTGCCACCTACCGCCTGCCTCAAGCCCAGGATAAGCTTGAAGCCGCGTTATTAAAGTTTCCTCGTAATTTTGTTGGCTCTTCCGAGTTTAGGAGTGTGTGAGGGAGAGAGTTAAGAGACCGGGAGGGTGGAAAGGTTTTAGAGGTCACAAGTCCGGCCAGGGTGACTTGACTCGACTGACCCCCAGAGGCTGTTTGGAGAAGTCGGCTTAGGTAAGTCAGGCGTTTTGTTTACTCTCGATCCACTCGGGGCGGTTCACGAATTAAGTGCGGAAGTGGAGAGAGGAAAAACCCAGCAGTGCGAAAAAAAGTAAGCAGAGGATTCGAGAAAAAGGAAAGGGAACGAAGAATATCTACCAAAAACTCTAAATTTTAACTAAAAAAAAATTTTCGGTGTAGGAGACCCGCAGCACGGTTGCAGAGTTGCATTCTCCTACTCTGATGAGCTTAACCGAAGTTTCCTCTTGTTTCAGGATTATCGAGAACTCCGCGGGCATGGAGGTCCTGCGCAAGGACGCCCTGAACCCCTACAGCCACAGCCTGTCCGACGTGTAAGTGGAGAGAGAGGGGGGGGGGTGAATCCTGGTGTGCCACCAGTAGAGCCGCTGCCGTGTTTGCAGAGATGCATGCAGCAGGTATGGCCGACCGGGAACCGAGACGGGAACCCACATCCCCTTGTTGACGCAGTGTGTGTGTGTGTGTGTGTGTGTGTGTGTGTGTGTGTGTGCGTGCGCGCGCGCGTGTGTGTGTGCTGTCACATCTAGGGGATTGGCGACGGCCGGCGCTCGAAAGTGTGCTTTCCAATCCCGGCTGGGTCGTTAGTTGGAGCGCTAATGACTTCCGCGAGGCTCGATGGCTGGCATAAAGTGCAGGCCGTTGACGTCATCGCGTTCTGCGGCCTGCGGAGCGCCTGCGAGACTGGCGTAGGCAAGCCCGCCACGCACGCGGTCGCGGCGCGTTGCCTACCCTGAGCGCCTGGCTGGAGCGCCCCGCTACTCAGGGCCGCCCGCCGTAGGTGCTCTCGCCGCCGCACAGTGGGCCAGATGAGTGGCGCTGGCGGCCAAACCTCTCGTCGCCTTTTGAGCACCAGAGTCGATTAATTGGCCTCGAACCGAGCGTGCAGGCTCGGGCTGGCCAGGGCAGATAGGCAGAAAAATCTGCCGGGGTCTTTGGGTTTGGGACCAGTAACGTCACAAAGTTGGTCAAAAAGTGGTCGAATCTCGGAAATTTGCTGATTTTGCTGACTTTGGGCGGCCACTGTGTCCAACGTAGTTGCCGTAAAAGGCCTCCCTCGACGCCCTAGTATCCTTAAGACCCTATTCCTTCATGCCCTGAATCGGGAAGGCGTTGACCACAACGATTTTGGCTTTGACCGCAACGATTTTCCGACCAAGTTGGTCAAAAAGTGGCCGAATCTCGGAAATTTGTTCATTTTGCTGACTTTGGGTGGCCACTGTGTCCAATCTAGTCGCCGTAAATGGCCTCCCTCGACGCCCTAGTATCCTTAAGACCCTATTCCTTCATGCCCTGAATCGGGAAGGCGTTGACCACAACGATTTTGGCTTTGACCGCAACGATTTTCCGACCAAGTTGGTCAAAAAGTGGCCGAATCTCGGAAATTTGTCATTTTGCTGACTTTGGGCGGCCACTGTGTCCAATCTAGTGCCGTAAAGGCTCCCTCGACGCCCTAGTATCCTTAAGACCCTATTCCTTCATGCCCTGAATCGGGAAGGCGTTGACCACAACGATTTTGGCTTTGACCGCAACGATTTTCCGACCAAGTTGGTCAAAAAGTGGTCGAATCTCGGAAATTTGCTGATTTTGCTGACTTTGGGCGGCCACTGTGTCCAATCTAGTCGCCGTAAATGGCCTCCCTCGACGCCCTAGTATCCTTAAGACCCTATTCCTTCATGCCCTGAATCGGGAAGGCGTTGACCACAACGATTTTGGCTTTGACCGCAACGATTTTCCGACCAAGTTGGTCAAAAAGTGGCCGAATCTCGGAAATTTGTTCATTTTGCTGACTTTGGGTGGCCACTGTGTCCAATCTAGTCGCCGTAAATGGCCTCCCTCGACGCCCTAGTATCCTTAAGACCCTATTCCTTCATGCCCTGAATCGGGAAGGCGTTGACCACAACGATTTTGGCTTTGACCGCAACGATTTTCCGACCAAGTTGGTCAAAAAGTGGTCGAATCTCGGAAATTTGCTGATTTTGCTGACTTTGGGCGGCCACTGTGTCCAATCTAGTCGCCGTAAATGGCCTCCCTCGACGCCCTAGTATCCTTAAGACCCTATTCCTTCATGCCCTGAATCGGGAAGGCGTTGACCACAACGATTTTGGCTTTGACCGCAACGATTTTCCGACCAAGCTGGTCAAAAAGTGGTCGAATCTCGGAAATTTGCTGATTTTGCTGACTTTGGGTGGCCACTGTGTCCAATCTAGTCGCCGTAAATGGCCTCCCTATGGAAATCACGGTCGGAGACTCCACCCGGGGACGCCAGCCTGGAGGCTCCAGCCCGGAGGCTCCAGGACGCGGGCAGGGCGGCAGGGCGGCAGGGCAGCGTCCTTGCCAGGCTTGGCCGGCAGGGTCGCCTTGATGTGGGGGCGTGTCGCAGAGCGGCAGCGCAGTGCGCACCAGCCTCTCGCATCGTCTCTGATAGCGCCATGCCGCCATGCCGCCTTGCCGGGCCTCGCCGGCCTCGCCGGGCCCGACCCGCGAGTCTGGCACCCACGCCACTCGGCCCCGCCGCCCTTCCCTCGCCAAATTGCCTTTAATATTTGATGCGGCATTTTGTGGGTGCTTGCCGCTCGCCTTGCCGCTCGCCTGGCCGCGCACCTCGGTGACGTGACGCCGTCGGCCCTTGCAATGCCAGTGTAGAGCCACACGCTTTAAATTATATTTTCAAAAAATAATTGCAAAACAAAATTTAAAAAAAAATGCCCAAAATTATAAAAAAACTGCAAACAAACAGCCTTGGTTTGGCGTTACATCCGCAGGGTCAGTTTCGGACACGTGATAAATATGGGACAGCTGTTTCCCAGACAACATTTTCACATTTTACAACTCTTGCCATGCCGAATGTGATGTTTTTCTCCTAAAAATAACATTTAGAACGGCGGGTTCTAAAATGTCAAAGGGAAAGAGATGCTCCTTTTTAACCCACCGTGTCTGAAAATTACCCCGACTGACTCCAGCTCGCGAGGGTTGGAAGTCCGCTGGGGGGCCATCAAGGGGTTGGCGGGTCCAAATGCGAACGGCGTCGCGAGGCACTCCTTCATGTCATGTTCCCGTTTCCTTTTTTTATTCCCGTCGGGGGTTGTAGTTGCCAAGTAGCCGCCACTGCAGCGAAAATGACACACAATGGAGACGGCGTCCTTTTTGCCTTATTTCTTTTTCTCGAGCCTGCCGGGGGAAATGGGTTGGCTGGAGGCCGTAGGACGGCGGGGTGGAGGGACGGGGTCGGGGTAGGGTGGGGCACTATCCCGGGCGCAGGTGGAAATGAGCAACTTTTGATGGCACCATGTGCGCGCCGACGCTGCCCCGTCGCGTCCACTGGCGCGCCGCTCTGCCTTATCACCCCTCTCGCTTCCTCCTCCGAGTCCTCCCCAGCCCCTTCCGCCCTCCTTGCCTCACAGTGGCCGCGCTGCCGAGGAAGAAAAACTCCCGCGCAATGAACGAACGACGCCATGAGGCTGACGGCGCAACGCGGCACTCACCGAGCAGATAAGGGAGAGACTCAAACATTGAGGAAAATGGCGTTTTATTTTTAAAAACCGGGAGTCTGGAAACGAAAATACAGACCCCAAAATTTTTATGGTGAAGATTCTCCATTTGAAGATTTTCCACATTATGGTGAAGATTCTCCATTATGGTGAAGATCCACCATGTTAGCTTCAGCTCCATGGTGAAAATTCTTCAAATTATAGTGAAAATTTCTTTTATCCTGGGGGAAATCTTCACCACAATATGCTGGCGCAGCCCCACCCGTAAGATTTAGAGTGCACACCGCTCACTGCCTCTTCTCTGTGTCCCGCAGAGAGTTGCGCTCCCTGCCGAACCTGGAGGCCATCGAGGAGGGGATCTTCTCCTCGCTCACCAAGCTGCGGTCTGTGTAAGTATCCGCTTGGGCCGCGCCGAGCCGCGCGGATCCGGCAGGCCGGCCCGCGGTCACGCGATCCAGCGTCCGGCGCTGTTTTGAATGCATGCAGCCTCCCGATTCCCTCTGATGCCGTAGTCTCTGTCGCACCCCTACGGCGCGCCACACGAGTGTGAGAGAGACACTGACGAAGGCGCTGAGGCCGGTCTCTGGTCTCGGCCACGGCATACAGAACCCGAGGCCAAACAGCGCACGGACGTAATCCCTGGCCGGTTCGTGGGCGACCGCGTGCGGCCCGCGAGGCTCCACCAGACTCCCAATCAGTGTTCCAGCAGCCCTCTCGGACGCCTTTTAATTTTTACTCCTCCCCCGCGTTATACGTTCCTCTTCTTTGCTCACTCGGCAGTTACATTCTGGGCGTGCCCAAACTCAAGGTCATCCCCGCCGGCGTCTTCCAGGGCCTCTCGCCGGCGTTCAAGGTCCTGTAAGTATGAAAGTGGAACGAAGTGGACTCCCCTCTTCTTCTTTTCTTTAACTTTGGGATGAGTGACTTGACGGCCCTCGGCTCTCCTTTCCTTTCTCTTCCAGGAGGATCAGCCGCACGGCGCTGCAACACGTCCCGCACATCTCCAGCCAGGGCGCGGACCGCATCCTCCACCAGATGTGAGTCACCTCCGTGGACGCCGTCGTCGTCGTAGTCAATTTTTTCTCGTTTCACACGAAAAAAGAAACCGAAAATACTTTGTCGTGGTGTCCAACTTTGTTGTGGGTTACCGTGGGTTTTCGATTGCAGCCAGTCGAACTCAGCCTATCGAACAAAGTCGATCACCTCAACAAGGTTTTTCTTCCCCGTGCGTCGTCGGCCTTGTCGTGGATTTTCTCGCGTCGCGGTTCTCTCGGTCATTCATCTTTGGTGACTCTGTCCTCTTTATCCTTCCAGCGACTTGGAGAGCAACGACATCCAGCACGTGCCGTCCCAGGCCGTCCGGCTGCGGGCCCACACACTGTGAGTATGAGAGCGGAGGAGAGGGTCGTGGGGGGAGGGTCGTGGGGGGAGGGTCGTGAGGAGAGGGTCGTGGGGGGAGGGTCGTGAGGAGAGGGTCGTGGGGAGAGGGTCGCGCAGAGAGAGGGTCATGTCGAGAGGGTCGTGGAGAGTGTCGGGGGGAGAGGGTCGTGGAGAGAGTGTCGGGGGGAGAAGGTCGAGACGAGAGCAAGCGGCCGTGAGGAGGACATCGTGGGCAGAAGGTATTCTCGGAATGTCCGTATGGAGAGGAGTCCGAGGAAGGTGGATCCGGATGTGTGACAGAATGGAAATAAGAGGATGGATGGCTCCTGTTCCTGTAAGAGAATGGAAGAGACAGCGAAGTGACAGCGAAGTGACAGCGAAGTGACAGCGTGATTGATGAGCGTGGGCTTTTCTGGGTACCGTCACACGCGAGCCGCCCCTGAGTGTCTCGACTGCCAGACACGCCAGACGCCCAGGCGCTCCCAGGTGCGGCCGCGTTGCCGTTGCCCGCCCCTCAGCCCACCCCCTTCACTTTTGATTACGTGCCCCTCGACCAGGCCAGGCGTCTACCGAGTCTGCCGCTAAGTTGCGCGTCGCGTTGGGGTAGCCCGCCACGCCCCGCCGGCTGGAGCGCTCACTCCACTGTCTGCCTTTGTCCTCAGCGTCCTGGACTACAACTCCATCACCGAGGTCCACGCCGGCGCGTTCAACGGGTCCGAAATCGCCGAACTGTAAGTAGATCATCGTGCTGGACTACAAGTTTGCGCCTTTGTTGTTGTTTGTTGAGACTATTGTCGGTTGCAGGAGCCTCAAAGGCAACCGGAGGCTGACGCAGTTGTCCCTGGGCGCGTTTCGCGGCCTCTCCTCGCTGCGAAAGCTGTAAGTCACACGCGCGTCATCGTGTCGGTGATTGCGAAAGCGCTGCACTTTCTGTTTAGTCGGCCGGAATTGGCGCGCCATATACGCGCGTGAGAGAGTACTGTCGCTCTCTTGCGTACACACTGGCCGACGACGATAGCGACTTGGAAATGAAACCGGCGTCTTTGATGTTGTCTTCCCACTGTGTATGATCGTACAGTGGACCCTAATCCCGAATTTGGCCAAGACTGCGCCGTGAGTTTGCTCTGAGACTACACTGTTGTCTCGGCACGCCGTGCCACGCCGTGCCACGCACGCATCACGGCGTCTCTGTCGCGCGCCGACGCGCCAACACACGCCGCCTTCAGATAACATTATCATCTGGGAAGCGAGGGGGAGGGGGTGACCCGGATATCTCCTTTACGCCCTGCGAGTGGCTTTTCAATGTCTTCCCCATTATCTGTTTGCGTTGCTGCGGCGTGGCGCGGCACGCACCAACACACAACACACGCAGCCGCAAATCAAATTAACTAAATTCGGAGTCGATCGTCAACAGATATCGAGATATCGTTATCGAAAGTGGCGGCGCGAGAGGCGCGCTCCCGCGGCCAGCCGTGCAAACAAACAGAAACACCGCGTACTGCACACGCGCTGTGATTGGCTGCCCGGCCGCCCCATTCAACTCACTGTTTGTTTTTGTTGTTGTTGTTGTTGTTGTTGGCAGTGACTTGTCGCAGACGTCCATCTCGGAGCTGCCGACCGAGGGCCTGCAGAACTTGGAGGAGCTGCGGATCGAGGACACCACCACCCTCACGACCATCCCCTCGGTGTACAACTTCAGGGTACGGAACATGGAGATAATTTAAAAAAAATTGTTACGAAAAAAAGCAATAAAACTCGAAAAAAGACAGCAAATAGGAATGTAATTGAGTTTGTGGTGGACAGGACCTGAAGACGGCACGGCTTACGTATGCCTTCCACTGCTGCGCCTTCGCCCATCCACAGATCCACGATGCCAAGAAGCATGAGGAGTATCTGGTACGAACCGCCTCAACAAACAAACAAACAAACACTCAAAATGATAGAGAGATGATGATGACATGATTCCATTCCGGCAGCGCATGGTGGAGAAGATCATGAACGCGTGCCGCGACATGGAGGCGGCCAGGATCAGTCCGGAGATCATGGGCGAGCTGCTGCAGTCCGTCGGCGTGTCGCGGCCCAGCGTGCGCCTCACCCGCGACGTCCGCGCCGCCCTGGACAGCCTCGGCGACGGCTCCGGGGGCGGCTCCGGCGACGGCTCTGGCGGCGGCGACGGCGACTACGCGGAGGACGACGCCAACGCCGGCTGGGGGGATGTGGTGGTGCACGATGTGGCGGACAGGTTAGCGGGAGACGCAACGCCTCTGAGCTCCGGAGTCGCTAAATGGGACTAGAGCCGAACGTGTGATGTGTGAATGGATTCCTCGTTCGTAGAGCAATCTGGATTGGGTGAGTCCTGTCCGGTTCAAGTCCCATTTGGCGACTCTGGAGCTAAAAAAAGGGTTTGGGATTTGGACCGCCTCCACCGGCCTTCTGGCCCACTGTGCCCCGCGGTGTGTCCGAGGGAGCCTCACCGACGGCATGCTCGTGTCCCGCAGCTGGGGCGCGGTGGGCACGGCGGAGCCCTTCAACGTCTTCGTGCCGCACCACGACCACCAGGGTGCCTTCGGCGACGTGGTCATGGACACCGGCATGATCTCGGACCAGCCCAAGCCGGAGCCGCAGAGCCCGCTCGGCGGCCGGCGCTCGGGGACGCACGGGCACCTGGACCTGGACCACGGCTGGCACCCCACCGCCGCCACGCTGTCGCCCGGCATGTTCGAGGCCATCTGCGGCAACGTGTCCAAGCAGTGAGTGGTCACCTTCCAGTGGCGTGTGCAGAAATTTTAGAAACGCGAAGGGGGGGGGGGTCAAGCCGCGCCTTACGTAACCTTTCGACTGCGATGCGCGATGCCCACAGTGTGCCCGCCGTAGAGTGCAGCCCGGCGCCGGACGCGCTCAACCCGTGCGAGGACATCATGGGGTACGCCTGGCTGCGCGGCCTGGTGTGGGTGGTGGTGCTGGCCACGGTGGTGGGCAACGTGGCCGTGCTGGGCGTGCTGCTGGCGCACATGGCCGCCCTCACCGTGGCCCGCTTCCTCATGTGCCAGCTAGCCTTCGCCGACCTGTGCATGGGGCTGTACCTGCTGCTGCTGGCCGCCATGGACCTGCGCAGCCACGGCGAGTACTTCAACTTCGCCTGCTCCTGGCAAGTCGGTACGTACCTCTGCCTCTCTCACACCCCCACATGGGTGCGAGCAAGACAGCTCTCCAAATTGCACAGTGTGCAAGGCACTCCCCACCTGATGATGCCTCTGTGTCCCTTGTTCCGCAGAGAGGGGCTGCATGGTGGCGGGCTTCCTCACCGTCTTCTCCTCGCAGCTGTCCATCTACACGCTGTGCGTCATCACGCTGGAGCGCTGGGTGGCCATCACGTACGCCATCGACCTGAACAAGCGGCTGCGCCTGGGCGCCGCGGTGTACGTGATGGCGGGCGGCTGGCTGTACGCCGTGACCATGGCGGCGCTGCCGCTGGCCGGCGTGTCGTCGTACTCCAGCACCAGCATCTGCCTGCCCATGGACTCGCGGCACCCGGCCGGGCTCACGTACCTGATAACGCTGCTGCTGGTGGCGGCGCTGGCCTTCGTGCTGGTGCTGGTGTGCTACCTGCACATCTACCTGTCGCTGGGGCCCAACACCCGCCACAACCGGCGGCCCACGGCCCCGGTGCGCCGACAGTCCTCCGCGTCGTCGCGCCGCTTCGGCTTCGGCGCGGGCCGCCGCTCCCCGGCCGACGGCGCGGCCTCGCTCAAGGTGCGCAAGGAGTTCAGCGTCGCCAACAAGATGGCCCTGCTCGTGCTCACCGACTTCACCTGCTGGGCCCCCATCGCCTTCTTCAGCATGACGGCGCTCGCCGGCTCCCCGCTCATCTCCGTCACCAACTCCAAGATCCTGCTCGTCTTCTTCTACCCGCTGAACGCGTGCGCCAACCCCTTCCTGTACGCCATCACCACGCCGCAGTACCGCCGCGACCTGTCCATGCTGCTCGACAGGTATTTACAGCCGAATGTGTGCGTGCGTGCGTGTGTGTGTGGGCGTGTGCGCGCGTCCGAGACGGCGCGCAGAGCATTGTACCAGTTTCTCTGATCAGACGCTAGATGGCGCTGCAAGTCTGTCGCGTCGGCTGCCTCGCTCGCGCTTGACAGATACAGTGTCCGTTTACCAAGTAACGTCCCCGCCTCATCGGGTTCAGCGGAGGAGGTGGCTATGCCAGACAAGAAAAATTTTTTGAAGGGACTAATCCTTTCCTTCTAGGATAGTCCTAATAAGTGACTTGATGAAGCGTGCACGCATTATCTTCGTACGTGCTACGATATCGGGAACGTGCGTCTCGGAGGGATGATGAGGGGGAGAACAAAGACACCCTGCCACTATCCGAGGGATCGATTCGTCGCTGTCTCTCCGCGTCCCTCCTCAGCGGTGCGAGAGCGACGAAATGATCCCTCGGAGTCAGGATACTCAGCCCGAGTGCCTTACGCCCTCACACCCAACGGCCACCGATTTCTGTCCGCAGGTTCGGCATCTGCACGCACCTCGCGCAGCGCTACAAGTTGCAGTACCACTCGACGCCGACGTCCCACAACTCCGCCCAGCCCGTGGCCATGTCCCAGCGCGGCCACGCCGGCCACGGCCACGCCGGCCCCGCGGACGCGCAGTGCTACGACGGCCCGGGCGGACCCGAGACGATGACGTCCCTGCTCTCCGTCAGTCCGCCGCCCGGCAGGAACAGGGAGGAAGCGTTCGTCTAGACGGTGTCTGGACCGTCTGTCTGGACGGTCCTGGAGGCTGGGGTCCATCCTCGGCCGGGTCTCCCCAGCTCTCTGGGTCTCCCTGCTTCGAGCACCAGAACAGGACTGTGGTTCTAGGACTCTATGGCAAGCATGCCGTCAGCCCAACCAAAGTGAAACCGGACTATGGCTCTAGGACTCTATGGCCACCTTGCCGTCAGTCCGCTCAAAGTGGAACAGCACGTACTGCGTCATTTTTGCGGTCACTTTGACGTCATTTGGACTTCTTCGTGAGCGTTTCGTGTTTATGGGGCTGGCCCGCAGAGGGGTGGCCTGCCACACTGGCGTTGCCCATTTTTGTATAGGGGAAATGCCCTTGCTTTAGTGTTGTATCGATATGCTTCGGCCAGACCCAATTTTGCTCCATGACTTCATGACTAATTCGGCGCGTTCCCAGATGTCCGCGATCGAGTTTTGTTTATGACATTCCACTGACACCCAAGCTAGCCGCTACATATTATGTGAAGGTGCTGTGAATTGTGCATTGTGATATTGTAGATCAAAGTTTGAATCGTGCAATCCCTGGGCCGGGGAAACAGAAATATCATGACATATGACATTCCAGCCTGTGTTTGGTATGCCATTCTTTGTCTGAGTGCAAAGATTATGGGCTTTACAGGCCTAGCAACTTTCTAGTTACTGTGATACTAGTCATTACCGAGATAAAGCAGTATTAAAAGAGCTAATTAGAGCACCTATCTTCTAGATGCATGTGTATTTTGATATTAAGAAAGTGAATCTGATTTTGTACAGTGTATCAAGCTTACTTATGCTTTTCATGTTCTCCCTAGTTTGTGAATATAGGCATAATTTTATCAATAAATGTGTAAATAGATACACAAATGAAGAGAAGGCAAATGCATTCAAAAGATAAGTTTTAATTGACAAAATAAATATTTAATTTAGAATTGTCTTGATTCCATGAGGCATTTACACTCCTTGAGTATTGACCACACTCTCATTCCTGATGATTCAATCAACTGAGCAGCAAATATAATATCATCAGAGTATGTTCCATTGTAATTTTTCTCACATCATGCTAAATTAGAAAAATATTGACATGGAAGGTCCTCTTTAGCATTATTGCTTTCATTCAAAGTAGGTTACTGTATTATTGCATAATGAATAATTCTCAGCACAGTAAAGAACAGAAAATATAAACCCAAAGAGGTATGATGGACAAAACAATATAAGACATCCAGCTTTTTCAGTTAGAATTTCAATACTGGTTCAAGCCTCAAAATGGACCCATGTTTGATAACCGCACAAACACTCTGTCTCCAGATTTGACACCAAAATTGGGTCCATTTTGATGTTAGCATAGCCAGTTTGTGATCATTGGACACAAGCTCACGTCACTAGTTGACTTCACTTTCCCTTTAAACACAATGTTGACTATGCCTCATAATTTGAGTATCAATAAATACAATAAGTTAAAACTGTGATAATACTTGTATACATGAAAGCTAGGTGGAATCTGATCATTTACTCCTACTTTCAATCTACACAATAAACAAGCATACAGTATTCTTCAAGCAGTTAATTTCAAGATAATCAAGATGTCATAAGATATATAAAAGACATTGAAAAATGACAGGCCAAAACACTTATGAAGAATTAATAGCACAAAGAGAAATTTTGAATAACAAGAGCAAAAATGTTACAAGGCAACTTTCATAAAAGTAGTATCACTCATTTTGGTTTCCACAACCTAAGCATACATGACTGACTGAGAAGCAACACTCACACAAAGTCAGACACATTAAAAATTAATGAAGTTTACACATACCGTACATTACAGGACTGACTGCAATTTGAGTACAAGTTAAGAGTACAGAAATGAAGCAACATAAAAAGACTTTCCAAGAGAACTTTTATCAAAATATGGGACATTTTTGAACGGCCAGGAGTTGAAGCTCAATTCACAGTAATTGACTCGTCACACCTTCCTAATGTATTACTCTTACATATCAATTATTACACAAATCAATCACCCTCATTGGATTAATAAAAGATAAACAACAAAAGCAAAGGAGCAGAACAGTATATTTTAAATGGAATGACCAGAGAATAAGTAGGAATCATTCAAAGAGTCCAAGCATGTGACTAAAACATCAAACTAGTTGGACCAATCCATCCAAACATGACATGAACAAAAGCCTATGCTAACAAACTTCACAAGGCAAAATATTCCATAACTGATATGACGGGTTAAGAGCTGATCACCATTCTTGCAAAGCTTGTAATTTGAGATAAAATGTAAGCACCCTAAGTACGAAGCAGATTTAAAATCTTTTTCATCCTCTATAAGAGGCAAAGGAGCAACCACTGGAGACCAATGGGGAACAGCAAATCACATCCTGGTCTAAAACAAATGATTATCATCAAAACAGAGGGGGGAAAATATGATATTGAGCTTAATAGCTATCTTCCACTTCAGCACCCTACTCAAAGAATAACACAGATCTAATTTGACTGATTTTAGATAATTACCACAAAAATATTTCACGCCATGCATCAAGAAATCTAGTAACAAAAACCTTCTTGGGAAACAAAATCTTAACAGTTGTATTGTTTAACTTTAACAAAGAGGATTAAGAAAGATGATGAAAACAACACCTTTTTTTTCCTTGAAGAGATTTCTGTCCAAAACAAATCTGAAAGGACGTGTAGTATGCAACTTAACACCTCCATAAATCCTCACTCCTCACCTATGCTTATTGCTATATAAATATTAATAACATACTGAAGCAAATAATTATCTCATACAGTGGAACCAAACAGTCCATTACAAAATCAGTCCAAGCCTGTCAAGTAACTGGTGAACAACAGTTCTTCTCAGAAATTCATTCCAACTTAAATAAGCACAAACGCTTCTAAATTGAGGAATTAAATTTTCAACAAGGTGGAAAACAACTTTCTGTACAAAGATCAATACATTTAGAGAAAATTAAAGACTATACATCAGTACACATTAAAGACGTGTTCCCACACAGAAAACTATTAAAATAGGCCTTTAATTGATCCTATAGAGGATTACTATCAAACTACCAATTTTATCAGCAGGTAGCAACTGAGAATCTCAAACCACTCTTTACACCCCACCACTAAAAGTAATTTCTTCTTGTCTATTAGTTTTGTGGTATTTATCTTTGTAGAAAAAATAAAAATAAATACATACAACAGTTGGCTGCATGGAATTTAACCATTAAGGAACTGTCACATATTAGCAAGAATGGCCCTATGATCGATGTCCCCTTTGTCTGTGACTTCCATAGGCTAGAGTTAAATGGATATCCCAGACTCCAATTTTCAAGTGCAATTGAAAAATAAGATCTCTCATTGATATGAATGTCTTTCAAAACTGAAGTCAATTTGCATATTTGTTGGGGATAATTTTTGGCAAAATTCTCTCTAGCCAATACTTGGTTAAAGGAGACACTATGTTTGGTGTTTGAAGGAAGCCTCTGTCAGAGTTCCATGTAAAATGCAACAAAAATATTCTAATACACTTACAGCTAATGAGAATTGGTAGATGGGTAAATTTGCCTAGAAAATAGATAGGCATAGAAGCAAAACCTCTTGTGCAGTCACACAAAAAGTGGATAGTATAAAAACTCCCCACCAAAGAGACATGTACAACTATTTGTCAAAGAGGGAAATGAACTGTCCGAAAATGCCAATTAACATTTGATGACAGTTTGATGAAATTACATGCAATAATGTTCGTGTCCAATAAACATATACATTAGGGTTCTTATGATTTACGACTAAAGCAGAGATAAGGGTATTTTTTTTACTGAGCTCGAAACAACTCTGTGGCTCCCTACCCAAAAATTTGTCCACCAGAGTCAAAGGGATGGAACACGAATTGTTCATCTGAAGAATACCTCCAAATCAAATGGAATCTGTTATTCTCTACACATCAGAAATAAGCCTAGGTATGTTTTATCATTAAAAGAAAAATCTAAGTCAAGATATGGTATGGTTGATGTTGCCACAAGAAGCTCACAATATCTCAACAAACAATTTTGGATTATTATAAAGAATGAAAATGATACACCCAACCCATGACAATGACAGGTGATGGTTAATGAAAAGTCAAGGGGCTCGTCAATGATTTTTTTAAAAATACGGTCTAAAATAGTACTCCTAATGTCTTTTACCACTGATGCTTCTGCGAATAGAGATTTGACTTAGTGGTATAATTAGCAAGAAGAGCATGCTTATGCCTTTGGCCATGTGCACAAGTGTGACAGTTTCTTTTTTTGTTTCTTTTTTTACTTTTTCTTCTTTTGTGCTGGCTATGCTATCAACAATAAAACTTTAAGGACTTTCCTAACATTCTTAACATTTTAAAATATTTTTCCTAGATTTGCATACAAACAACAGTGCTATGGACTTTAAACATATTTACACCATAGTTCAGGAAAAAGAAGGAAATCATAAAAAAGCCTAGTAACACAGGTAGGTATATTAATGCTCAGATAAATAATAAAATAAATACAAAATCGTGTCATATCTAAATGCATCACTAAAGCTCATCATGGACAAACCATTCTCTTCTTGTAATGGTATGGTTTACTATAAAATACCAATGTCACATCAGGTACCAACAATAATTGAACTACAATTACTATAATACCTGCAACTATTTCAAGTCTATCTCTGGGCTATTCAACTGAAACGGCTTAATGAGACCATGCTCAACTATAGGAGTTTGTTCTTCCTGGCTGTTATTGTCCACCTTGATTCGTATCTTATTTAGATCTGATGTCAGTGGGCATGGTAAGGATCTTGGGGGAAGATCACCATTTTGACGGCATGGTGAGGGAGGTTGAGGCGAGGTGTAGGGAACATAAATGCGAACCACATCAGGACTTGGAGCAGTAGGTTGTGGTGTCAGCGCTCTCGGAGTGGCAGTGGGAGTGATGGCTCGAGGTCCTGAGTCATCGGACACGTTGCTGTGCGTGTCGAGGCTGTTGTCTTGAGCATGGGATCTTGTGACTGATGAGAAGACTGACAGATCCGCTGTTGACGTCACGCTGGTATCGGCCAGGGATCGCCGTGAAACTAGAGAACTTGCGTCGTCAATACTGGGATCAAAGGAAAACTTGGATCCTGAAAAATAAAGAAAGCAACAAAAGTTAATGACACAATATGACATTGATTTCAGTGCTCACATTATATTTGTAGCATTTTGATATCTCCTGAACTTACCTTGATCTATTCCGTACAATGAAGCAGCAAGGATAGAAAAGACAAAGATTGGGGAACATTAGTCAGGTTGGAATGAGCATTAGGTGGGGTTCATAGGGATATTTTTAGGTCGAACTGAGATAAGTAGCAAGAGAAACCATGCTGTGTCTCTTAACATCTCCAATAAAAATGATAGGGAAATGGCAGGGAAGAATTCTTATTTTGGCTAAAGCTTAGGTAATGCTTTCAAGGTCGAACAGATTCAAACAGACTTCAAGAAACCCAATATTTAAAGAAAATAGAAAAACAGAACTCACTTAAGTAGGATTTACTGAATTATACAAGACACGTCACTATTAACAATAATGAACGGAGAAACACAGACTAGACCAAAGCAACAGCAGTGACAATATGTTATTCTTCCATAAACTTTCAAGCATGGGATAGTTTATTGTCAAGTTTTAAAGAAGCACATGCACAGACTAACAAACTTAAGAACATGTCACAATAATATTGGTTTACAAACCTCCTAAATTACCACCATCACTTCCAGAGATGTGCGACAGTCTGTGGTGACCATTGCTTGTAGTCCCTGGTGGTCTTGGTGACAGCTGATCCATTTCTAGCTGCTCTTCAGTCTGTTGTCTCCTCAACACAACTGACTCTGTTGCTACTCTTTCAAGAGCAGTGAGTTCACTAGTTCTTCTACCAACCTGCAGTCAAAATAGAACAAAAATGATAATCAAAAAGGTCTCAAAACAATGATTTGTCTCAGTAACTGAGAGACAGAGCCAAACTACTCACCTTTTGCTCAAATGTTGGTTCGGTGAAGGTTCCAAAAGGTGTCTTTGGCAGTTCATCTGGAGGGGGCGGGCCGGGATAGTCCAATTTCGCTTTCTTGAGTTCCTCCATACAACGCTGCAAACTCTCTATTACAACGTCGTCCTCCATTTCACTGCGCTCCATACGGATCTACACAAACAAACAATTGGTTTTTTAAATCCCAGATAATATTTTAATTGAAAACAGAACAGAACAACATAAGATACACAAAAGTTACCTGTAAATACTGCAAAATATCATCCATGCCAAGCCGCATGAGTTGACGCCTATTTAATTTAAGTAAGTTGTAAGCCATTGCTATCAGCACCCGTTCCCCATCCAGTAGGTATACATCCCATATTCTTAAAGCAAGTCGGAAAGGGACCTAAGACAGAGAAAGTTGGCACATAAAAAACAATTTATGAAGGGTTAGGAGGTGAATTTGAGCAAAAATATGAATATATTTCCTTACTCTGTCTAAAAAGCATTGAAAAAACCACTTAAGAGTGTATAGCCCTGTATCAACACCATTGCGGTCAAGGTGTTTCTTAAGCTTTGGGAGGAACTTGTTCATTATCTTCTCATGGTGCTCTTGAAAACGTACAAGCTTAGGAAAGCCTTGGATAAAAAATCCTGTAATAAATATTTTGGTACATGTGTTAGTATCAATATCAACAATGTTTCTCTGCTAGAGAAACAAACAACTATTAGATAGATATTAGCTTACCATGCATGCTATACTTTTTGTCACAGACTAATACTGACAAAGCCCAAAATGCATCTTCTTCATTTAAGTACATTAACAAAAGAGCAGCTATTTGAGACATTCCTTGGCAGTAACCAATTTCTCTATTATAAACAGAATACGCGCTTAATATATTGAACAGGGCTTGCTGCTTCAAACCATATCGTTGTCGAAACATGAGATGATCTCTATAAGTTCTGTTCACATCCAAGTCAATTTGTCTTATATCAGGTGACCACTTCCATGCAATAGCACGCATTTCCTAGAAACAAAATTTCAAACATTATTAGAAATTTTGGTTTGTTGTAACTTTTGGTGCACACATTTCAGGCATATGAATATGTATTCATACCTCATATTTTCCTTCTTGTTGTTTCTTAAGAGTGTCTATTTCAAGCAACAAACTCCAAAAAGTTCCTCTGAGTGATTCAGGAATGCCTTTATAGACTCGGCGTCTTAACTTATCAGCACTCAGTTTATGCTGTTCCCATTCTTTGCGCATTTTAAGCCATTTTTTAGCTCGTTCCCTCTCCAATTGCACCTCTTTTGTATCTTTCCGCTGAGGCACTCGTTGGTCACTAGGGTATCACAGACATGGTATCAGTAAATGAATGGCAAACTATTGGAGTTTCAGCATGCTTATGAAACTATACTTACTGTATGAAACCATATCGGTCGGTGACATGATATATCTCAAAAGAAGGATCTTCCCATGGGTCGATCTGAGCACCTTCCTCTCTCCCACGAGCATATTTGTTCACAATATTGGCTCGCTCTTCAGCAGCCCTTTGTAAAAGATCGCCTTCATTCATTTTGATGTCTTAGCCTCCCCCGGGTTGTCCATCTCAACATGTAGAAAGGAGGGCAGAACCTAGAAGCACAAGAAAAATGCATAAGATGAACATGCTGAAATAAACTTCATCTTCAAAAAACAAAAACCATCCCTGGGAGGGGGAGGATATAAATACAGGATTGAATAGTAAACAATGAGGTTAAGCCAAATGGAGAATAAGCTCACAACCATTGAGACATCTCAACAGACGCGATGAGTAACATTAATTGATGTTAACCTGGTAATTAAAAAGGCAACCGAACTAAGGGTAAACTTCAATGAATATGTCTTTAAATTTAAACGACACGCAAAATAATGCACGTCTTCAGTCAGGACACAGGTGTACAGGGCGCAAACACTCCCGCAGAGTGGAACGCTTGCATAGTCTGACAACTTTTAATTCAAAGAAGCCGAAGTTTATGATCTTTAGCCTCGTTAACAGCTCACTTAGAAGGAAAAAATAGCTATAAACATAAGAAAAACACTTGAGAAACTAACCTTTTGACAGCTCCATGTTGATAACAGGAAAGTGACTCTCGAGCAGAAATTTAGAAATTATTTGAAAGAAGAGAGTGATACAGTGAGGAACGTACGATTGAGACTCAGGTTTACAAAGGCGCGTCCATTATCAATTTTACAAAACTAAGGATTTGTTGACAATGTAGAATGTAGGGCATAATTCGTGTTCTTTCCTTACGCGTAGGCCTAGCCTGCCTGCGCCGCCCGCAAAACAACCCGAAGACCTCGGTCGAATACCCATACCAATATGAATGACGGTCTGAGGAGCGCTTGTTTTTGTTTGTTGTGTCTTGGACGTTCTTACGATCGCTTACGATATCTGACGTTTAAAATTTAGAACGTATTTAAACTGATTTGACAATGCCAAAAGTTGTTTCCCGGAGTATTGTTTGTTCAGACACCAAAGACCAAGAAGAATATGGAGAAGAGAAGCCCTTGCACATCTACTATTGCATTTGTGGACAGATGACACTAATTTTAGGTTAGGGTCGTGTGTGATATGGCTGGTTATTTGTAGAGCAAAATATTTTTTCGTTTTCTTTACTCTGTTTGTTTCTTTTTTTCTACAGACTGTGCCGTTGAAAAACTACCTCTTAGGAAGAGAGATGGTTCACGAGTGATAGATGGAGCAAAACACGCTCACAAGATCACTTGCGATCAGGATGAAATAGTGCATATTAAACGTCCAGAGGGCATCGAAAAGCAGCACCGAATGAAGTGTAAAAAGTATGTTATTGACGATTCGCACATTCATCTTTAAGTATTAAAAATTTCATCCTAACGAGTTTCTTATGTTTCAGGTGTGGATTGGCCTTGTACTATAAGCACGAACCACGAAGCAATGTGAACTTTATTTTTAAAGGCGCTGTGGTCAAAAGCTCTGGTGAAGGTCCTAAGATGGATATTTATAATCAAGTGGCAGCAGTAGCAAAACCAAAGAAAATTATGGTAACAAAACATACTAAAAATATGGGCAAATTCAGCTCTGTCACTGTATCTACAATTGATGAGGAAGAAGACGAAATTGAAGCTGTAAGTCTTGATGTATCCCTTTGTTTTTTTCTCATAATATTTAAAGACGAGTTGCTAATACTTGTTGCTTGTTTCCAGCGGGAGGTTGCTGACTCATACGCCAATAATGCAAGAATCATTGAGAAGCAGTTAGAACGCAAGGGAATGAACAAACACAAGATGACTGTTCAACAAACTCAAGCCGAAATCGAAGCCAAAAAGGCTAGAGTTAGAGGTACTCTAATAGACAAGTAATGCCCAAAATAAAAATTATTTTCACTTGTTTCCCCTAATTATCTTATGAACATTTTACCACTTCATACTATTTGATAAGTCATTAAAAGTAAGACATTTCTAACTGTCATAGTTCCACTTTTCGTTCCATTACACCGCTGACCAATCGCTTAAATAATTAGGCATACGTGAGCAACGTGGTGCGTCCTGAGGGCCGAGACCAACCAGTCACTACCCCGTGCGTCAACATGGAGAGTCCCTCGCATCGCAGACTGAATCACGACACAACATGTCATTCGGTGGGAAACTGCGTTACCACGCCGTGCGGTTAGGCAACCCAGCACACGCGTGACTTGCGGGAGGGAGTCAAGAGAGAGAGAGAGGGAATGACAGGACTTCCGGCCAAAATCAGCAGCCCGCTGGTGTTTAGATTCACGGATCCAACGCGACCCTGCTTCCCGGAAAATCTCCCGAATGCTCCCTGGGCGCTGGAGCGTGAAAACGAAAACGACGACGCCCACGAAAATATCTTGTTTCAACATTTTTGGTGTGCAGGGGGCGTAACGCAGCAGCCGGCTCTTGCCTCCTTTGGAGTGCCGAGCGGGCCAGACAGTGCGGTGGGGCGGGGCAGGGCGGGGCAGACCCACTCCATCAGGAGAGTAGAGCAAATAGAATATGGTTACCGAGAGGGGATTCGATGCGAGCCGCGGGCCGGGCCGGGGCTGCCACGGGGCACACACGGGAGAAAGACGCAACCCCCTCTCCTCCTCTTTGATGCGGCCGCGCCAAGGCTGCGCCGCCACCGTGCCCTCGGAAAAAGAGAAATAAAAAGAAAATAAAAGCAAGGGCGGTCGGCGAGCCACACCCGGAAGTGCGCCGGTATTTGATTTTCGGAGCACTTTGTCGGGGGCATTTCGTTCCTGCCATTGTAGGAGCGAGATAAGGCAGTGTGGCTCGGGGAGCAGGGTCGGCAAACAGAGCTATCTGCTGGCCGGTGAAGGAACCAGGAACCCGCCAAACTGAGCGAAAACGCAGAGAGGGAAAGGGGCAACGTGCTGCGCAAGCACTTTCAAGGTGCTTTTAATTGTCTAAGAGTATTATCACAGATCTAGAGCTACTCGGGGCGGGGTAACGGCAGGTGCAATCCCCCGCTTCCTCATGGCCCCGTAGGCCGCCCGACTAATCGGGCAGGTAGTTCCCACAGCGAGGGAAGTCCGCCGGGGCCTTCACGAAGTCCGTCGCGTTGCCCACCTGGAAGACCATCTCCATGCCCACGGCCATGTGGTACTGGAAATGGCAGTGGAAGAACCACACCCCTGCAAAACGGGAGGCGTCAGCGGGCTGTCGCTCTCGCAGTCGCGCGGCGTGCCGCAGGGGTGCGAGAGCGACAGGGCGATTCTGGGCTCACGTACCCGGGTTGTCCGCCTCGAAGCGGATGATGGCGTAGCCCGCCCTGGGCAGCATGACGGTGTCCTTGGCGGGCGGGCTGGGCGTGGCCGCCTGCGCGCGGAGCAGCGCCGCGTTGTCCACCACGAAGCGGCGCCGGTCCGCGCCCCGCGTGATGTTGGTCAGACTGCCCACGGCCAGCACGCGGAACGAGTAGCCGTGCAGGTGCATCGGGTGGGACAGCATGCCGTCCACCGGCAGCCGGGACGGCGTCACTGCAAGACGGAATCGAAAAGGAGATGAGGGAAGACCTCGGGGAGGGAAGGCCACGCGGCAGTGTAGGAGCGCGCCGCGGGCTGCGGGCTGCCTACCCTGGAGTCCGCGGGCGCCGTGGCCACTCTGGCACCCGATGGCGCGCTAGTGTCTCCGAGAACAACCTCCCCTCACCGTTCGTCACGTCGACGAGGATGACCTCGCAGCGCTTCCCCAGCGGCAGCGGCACCACCTGCGTGCACACGCACGGGGGGCGGCCGTCGGCGCGGTCGGCGCATCCGCGGCACGTCGGCGACTCGCCGGGCTGCGTGAGGAGCGGCGAGGCGGCCGTCATGTAGGACACGTTGTTCATGGCGCCGGCGATGTTCATGTCGAAGTCTGCGACAGGAGCGTCTCTTTGCGGTGTTGCCGCGAAGCCGAAAAATTCAAAATCCCCACGACTCCCAGTGTAGGCGCTCGAAAGAAGCCTTTGGCCACTGGCGCGTCGTGAGTCGTCAGAAAGTCTGGATACGCACACAGAAAGGGCAGGAACTGGTCGTTGTCGTAGAGCTCCTCGTCGGTGTACGGGTAGAACTGCACCTCCTGCACTTCGGTGTGCTCGGGCTCGGCCAGGCCGTGCAGCAGCGGGTCCTCCATCGCGGGCACGGACTGCAGGTCCGTGACGCACAGCTGGCGGGGGCTGTCGCCGCAGTACGGCGAGTTGAGCACCTGCGGACGAGTTGCCAGTTAGCCGGTGCGGGGTTCGATTCCCGGCCCCGGCGGGGTGGTTTTCTCGCTCCCGTCGCACTCACCACCCCTTCCGGCGGCAGCTGCTGGATGGAGGGCCGCGGGTCCGCGGGCAGGGCCTCGTCCTCGTCCTCGCCGTCCTCGTAGCGCAGGATGGCGACCTGCTCGACTTGGGTCTCATGAGGGCAGGACCCGCCAGTGAAGCAGTGTATCCAGAACGCGTCGCCGTCCTGGCTGGCCTCCAGGATCACGTCGTAGCGTTCGCCTGCGCGGGAAAGCGTCACGCACCGGAGTGAGACACCATCGCGGCCTCGTGGACCGAGGTCATTGTTCGTCCAGCCTACCGGAGAATATGTACAGGGTGTCCACCTCCAGGGGCTGCACGTCGGCGGCGTCGCTGGCGATGACGACCAGCTTGTGGCGCAGCACGCGGAACACGAGCGGGCAGCTGAGTCCGCCGCTGTTGATGAGGCGGAAGCGGTAGCGCAGGCCGCGCCGCACGCGGAACTCGGCCAGCGGGGTGCGCGTCCGGGAGCCGTCCGGGAACTGCAACACGAACGCGTCAACGCTGTCTCTCTCACTCCCTCGCGGGGCGCCCTGCGAGTGCGAGAGAGACGGCACCTGGAAGTCGCCCTTCCCGTTGATGAGGATGCTGGAGGCGCGCTGGCCGTGCAGGGCGTGCAGCCCCGGGAACACGAACTCGGCGTCCACGTGCAGCCAGTCCATGAGCACGACGGTGTGCTCGGCCAGGTCCAGGTCGTACAGGTGCGCCAGGGGGTTGGCCTCCGGCGGCGCCCTCGCCACCAGCGCGCCCACGACGCCGTTCACCTTGTGGAGGCCTACCGAGAACGCAGTTCACGGTTCAAAGGGCGAAGTGGAGGATCCGCCTTGACGTGTACCAGACAGGCGCTTACCGTTGTGCGAGTGGTAGAAGTAGGTGCCCGGCGCGTCCACCTCGAACTTGTACCTGAACGACTGGCCGGCCATGACGGGGCACTGGGTCACCATGGTGACGCCGTCCATGAAGGGCGTGCGGCGCTGGCGCAGGCCGTGCCAGTGCATCGTGTCGGCGTGGCCGTGCAGGTGCACGTGGAGGTCCACCTGCAGCACGTCGCCGGCGCACACCTGTGCAAGGGAGACAGTGTCTACAGTGTCGCGTTCCCGTTCCATTTTGGCGCCAGATGACAAGGCGTGCAGTGAAAGGGGTGTTGGTGGTCGCGTACGTGTATGGCCGGCCCCGGCACCATGCGGTTGATGCTGTACACGGTGCGCTCCACGCCGTCCACGGGGATGCAGCCGCGCCTGGAGCAGTCGGCCGCGTCGCCCGACGAGCAGTTGCCGCACGCCCTACGCCATCCCGAACTCAAGTCAGTCAGTCATTCATTGGCCGGAGCGGGGAGGCATGGCGCGTGGACTCACTGGTTCACCGCGTTGTACATCTCCTCGACGAAGGAGAACGCGCAGACCCGGCTGGGCGTGGCGTTGGTGCACTCGCGGTAGCAGGGGCCTGTCCACAAACGAGTCGTCAGGTTCCATCAAAGCTCGGACTAAGTGACGGCAGCTTCGAGTGTGGCGGAGTAGTCATCCATGTTGATTCGCTATTTCGATTACCGAGAGGGTGCTGCGCGGCCGACAGCGCCGCGCAGCCCAGCACGGCCAGGGCCAGGCCCAGCGAGGCGAGGGAGAGCGTCCACCCCGGGACGACCGGAACAACCCCGGCAGCACGCATGGCGTCGTCGCGTCGTGTGGTCGTCGTCGTCCTGGCCCGCCAAACGCCGTCTGCAGGACGGTTGTCCGCTGCGGCCGCGTGGCGCCGCGTGCCGACAAGGTCCGGGCGTGCTTCGCGGCGGCGCCCTTATCGGACACCACGCCGCGGAGGGGAGGGGCCAACCCCGGCCCATCCCTGCCCGTCAACAAGGGCATTCGTGCAGGGCTTACGCTGCTTACGCGCTTACGGTATTGAAGAAAGGAGGAACCGTCGCCGCGAGGTAAACTCCGTTCGCGTCATGGCTCGCAGTATAGCCCCGGGCTCGGGCCACCCTTAGGCCACCCATCCCACGCGGGAGTGCCTCCTGTTGCCTAGTCTCCTGATGGCAGGGGCCGCGTGCAGCGCGCCAGGCCACGCCCGGCCACGCCAGGCTGCGGAGAGCGCTCACCAGCTGAAATGCGCTTCGCCTCGCCTCCCCCCCAGAGTGAGTGGGTGCCCACGCGCAAGTGGGTGGGTTGATGCGGGCATACAAGGGACAGGGGTGCAGCAAAGACCGACTGTGGCGCTCGCGGTGCATTTCGTGTGCATTTAGATTGCAGTGGTGGCAGCCACATGATTCCACTTTCGGTTCGGTCACGCTGACAGCCCGGATGAGACCAGGATGTGCCGGCCAGGCCAGGCCGCGGTCAAGGCAGCGCGCGTTGCGGCAGGACGAGCAGCGCGACTCCGCACAGCGCGCACACTGCCGGTGGGGCATGGCGGGGCATGGCGGGGCCTTGGCCGTCAAGCTGGCCGGCTGTGCGCGACCACAACACTGGGCAGGCCTCCTGTTCGCAAGCTTCACGGTTAAATTTAGGCGATGCCAGCGCCGGGCAGACGACGACGGCGCCCCACCGTTGAGTGTGACCCGCTCAGCCCTGCTCTGCCCGGCTCAGCCCCCTGCAGGGCCCTGGGAGCATGCTGGGAGCCTCGCCAAGAGCCCCGCGCAATCCCGCTCCTAGGGGCTAGAGGACCCATCGGAGCGGATGGCGGCTGGCCGATTCGAAGGGTCGCCTCGCCGCCTGTCTCTCTAGCTGCCCTACAGGACCTCGTGAGTGCGACAGAGACAAGGGCGACGAGACGAACCTTCGGAAACAAGCGGAAGGAGGCACACGTCACAGAGCGAGCCAACCGGCTGCCGACCGGCCCGGCGGCCCCACGGCGGCGGTTTTGGTGGATGAAGCCTTATTTTTACCAGCGTGGTTGCTGCTGCAGGTGGGCGTGCGTGTGTGTGTGTGTGCGTGTTTACGACCTGCCCCTCGAGCAGCCTGGCGAGTTATAAAATGTTATCATGGACCGACACTTTCTGCCCAAACCGCGTGAAAAATAAAACCGAAACACCCGTTTCCCTTCCCCATCTTCTCCTAAAATTTTCAATTTTAAGTTATGTTGATTGAAATTGTGACAGCACATCTTGTCCACGGGGAGGCAGAGGGAGGAAAGCCACTCTGGGGTAATGGTCGTTCCTCTCATTCGGGGCTGTGCCAAAAGCGTTATTTCCCTCACTTTGCATTTTTGAAACGCCTTTGACACATGTTCTGGGTTTTGGCTCGGCGGCCCCGGCGCTTTCATGCCTCGACCTTGGTCTTGACCTTGGCGCTGGCCGCTGAGAGCAAGTCTAGCCCGAGTCGAGTCCTGCCATATCCTGCAGGCGCTACGCAGCGCTGCGACGAAATGAAATGATCGAAATCGAAATTCGCCACGCCATTTGGCTCCACCGTCCACCGTGCGCGAAGGCCCGCTAGGCCGAGTGAGAGAGACAGGCGCAGTCTGCGCGGAACACCAACAACTCCTCCCCGCGTACAGCACGCGCGGATCGGTGGCTACCCCCGCCCCCTTCCCAACCCCACCCTGTTAGGTCTCAGCAGACTTTTAGCGTTCGAGTAAGGAACTACAACAAACATAAGACGCTTGTATAGTAAATTTTAATTTACACACAATACACAGAAAAGATCAATATAAACTTTCCATGAGCGACAAAATTTATCTAGATAAGTTCTAATTGTCAAAAACTGGCAGAAACATTTATTATTCGTATATTTTCTATGTACTTTATTTACAAATTTATGTACAATCATTGAAATAAGAGCATACCGCTACAACTACAACCTAGGAAAGTACCAAACCGGTATCATTTGCTTCCATTAACATTCTTGGAATGGAGATTTTTTACCAAATTGATACCTGTGAATCGGCTCCGTGAAATAAGATGAGGAGCGGGTGAAGATTCTTCTTGAAAGCTTCTATTACGCAGGGCGAGCATGCCATATGATGGCCTTGTCTTCCCAATGGAGTGGTGCATAAATAGTATCAGCACAAATCAAAATAAGACAAAAAAAAAGGTTTCTTACCTAAGAAATAAGCAAAATTTCTTAATGAACCTCATTGTTCAAAATGTATGCAAGAGTAAACTGTGTTCGAACTTATTAACCTTCAAGAATAAAAGGAACAACAAAAGTTGCTCGGCAGTTGAAGGCTACTTGCTATTAACACGTTTTGAAAAGTCTCCAGGGTTTCATCTGTGAATCCTCGATCTACCACCTACAGCAGAATACTACAGAAGTATTTGAAAGCTGGTGGAAAATAAAAATGGATGATCATGGCAATTGAGAAAATTAGGGGACCATTCCGTCCACGAATGTCCCTAGCAATTACTTCAAGCAACATTTGCATCTTCTGGCACTTGGTCTTCAACAGCACACTCTGCATCCGAATTTTCTGAAATATCCGAAATTTCTGAATTGGAACTTTCTTTTTCTCTCATTGCTTTCAACTCTTTTGTTGCTTGATCCAACTTTTCTTTCAACTTTTTAATTTCTTGCGTATTCTTTCGCCTTTCTTCCTTTAACTGGCTTACTTCTCTTGTTGATTTATCCAACTTTTCTTTCAACTTTCTAATTTCTTGCTCATTTTTTCGCTTTTCTACCTTCAACTTTTTGTCCAAGAACGCAATCACTTTCTTCAGAGCTACCTTGTGAGGTGAATCATCCTCCTCTATGTCCAGACAGACAGGAACTGGAGCATTACTCTGCAAATGACAACCCCAGAAATACATTTTTAATCAATTTTAATGAATTCCACACGAACATGATGAAAGGATAGCGGGGAAAATGTACCTGGCTGTTGTCTTTTGCTGGGGTCTCCTCCACAGGCTCAGGTGCCACAGCATTTCTTGTATTTGATGGAGGGGGACACCAGGGCAGAACATTGTGGGGAGCCATGTGCCAGGTCCAGGTCCAGCTGCCATTTGGAGACGCCTCAGCATGCTGCTGAGGAGAGGGGGTCCAGCTGTCATGAGGAGACGGGTCAGTATGCTGCTGAGAAGAGGATGTCCAGGCGTCGTGTGGAGCTGTCTCAGGAAGCTGCTGAGGAGAGGGATTTGCTTGAATCGGGGCAGGGCTTTCAACTTCAGCACTACCTTTCTTCTTACGGTAGAAATAGACATTGGAATTTGGAAGATGCTTAGGTATGATCTGCAACAAAACATTCGTAATATAGCGACAGAAAACTCACGATTCTGAACAAGCGTCAAGCAAATAACTGCAACTCACAGTGGAGGCTGGTGGAAGTTGTGGAGCAGCATTAGGAATAGCACCAGGGAGCAGTAATCGCCTCTTTTTACCCGAGACACTATTACACAAATATTTGGCCGGAAAGTGCAGGGTGCAAATTTTAGCACTTTTGGATGGGACCCAATCGGATCCCTTTCCTTTCACTGCTTCCACCCACTTCGGCCTCCTTTCGTCAGTGGGAAATCTGAAAATAAGATAGCAAAAACGAATAAATTAGTGATCTGTACTGCAAGTAAGAGCTAATTCACAAAGTAAGACAAACGAGAGGCAATCATCATGCAAACACAAGCAAACATAATCCTGCATAACCTCACTTCAGAAAGGAACATGCATAACTTACGTCACAAGTGACACTCCGGCGGGCCGATTGGCCCACGTCGTAGTGCAGCCTCTCACGACGCACCCATTGCGACTGCGACTTGTCATGATGGAAACTTTCGGTTCGGGTTTTGGCAAATTTAGCGTTTGCACCAACAACAACAACAATGCGGATCTCCTTCACGCATGCGTTTTCTGAGTTGACAGGTCGCTGTGCAGGTGTGCGGCGGGTTCAAATATATCTTGTCTTCAAGTACAGCCAATTTTGTTCATATTATGCGGCTAATTAATTCAAGAAAACAATAAGTTTAGGGATTTACGTCGTCTGCCCACTAGTCCCCGGCGGCTGTGTGGCAGATGCCAAGAAGCGCTAGCGCTGCGCTGAGTCGCCACCAGGCGGCGCTCCAGTCGCCAAAAGTCGCCACGGGGCCGAATCGCCCAAAATCGCCACCGGAGCGGAGGCGCTCAAATCGCAAAAAAAACAACAAAAAAACCGTCATCTTTTGGCGCCAGAGCTTAAATTCTCACAAAATCGCCAAGTGCCAAGTCGTTGCAAAATTTCGGTTCAGGGGGAAGATCGATACTAAAATCGCCAAGTTGGGCTCAAGTGCGAGCGGATTATGGATTTTATCGGCCCCCTCCTGCCTCCTGCCGAGCCGGTTTCACGGAACCAGACCTGTTGGGGTCCGGTCTTGAATGGGGGAGATTCAAGTACGGCGCGGTCCGCGGTCGCGGCATCGGAAAACGCACCCCTTGCCCTCCGCGATCCAGGCAGCAGCGGGCAGATCGGTACCCCACCATTTGGCTTCACACACACACACACACACACAGAGTCCTTATCGGCACAGGAAGGCCACGTCCGAGGCGACACACCGACCGCAGGCTCTCCGTCACTCCCAGGTGGCGCATCCCTCGGGTGTGGCAGGGATGGCGGTAAAAGCCATTACGCTATCGGCGGCGGCGCGTTCACTCTCACAATGTGTGTGTGTGTGTGTACGTTGTTGTTGTTGTTGTTTCACTGTGTGTGCGCACCTGGTCACAATAAAACCGCAGAGGTCGTTGAATTGCGCGGTTGCACCGACGGTGTTTATTGTTTTTCCACGCTGGCAGTCCGTTTGCATGCACTTCATTTGCTGGAGCGTCGACGACGGAACGCGAGCTCTAGAATCCGTAATTGAGAATCGTTCGGTCGCTATCTGTCTCCGTCGCTCTCGTCTGGCTCTCCGAACGGGTGCGACAGAGGCTGAGCGACGAACCACCCTTTACCGGATCACATGGCAGGCGCCAGGAGGCTCCGACCGTCCCGACGGCTTGGCTCAACCAAGGCTTGGCCCAAGGCTTGGCCATGCCCATGGCGGCGGCGATCCTGGCTACCCCCGCAGACAGCTGGGCGATGGTCTCGCCCCCGCGCCCACCCCCGCACTCAGCTGTTGCCGGCTGCCCCCTCCCGTCGACAGGCCATCCGCGTGGTGGCCGCCGCGCCGCCGCCAGCCCGCGAGCGCCAGGCCGGGCCCGGGCCCTCGCCTCGCCGCCTCTGGGGCCGCCGCCGCCGCCAGTTGCGTCCCGGTGTTCGGTTCGGTCGCTGCAGTGAGTCGCGCGCCGCGCCGCGGAGCTAAATAAGAATCGGCCCGCGAGCCGCGAGCCGCCGCGAGTCGACGCGGTCCGTGAGACAGCGACGACAGCGTCACCGCGACGTCAGTGACAGTGACAGCGCGTCGCCGTGCCGGTGTCGGAAGGACCAGCAGGTGGCCCCGCGTCCCCATCGGCGTCCTCCGCGTCATCGGCGTCCTCCAGCCGGGCGTCACCGCGCAGTGCGCCGCGTCGCGCCGCGTCCTTGGCGCCGTGCGTTGTGCGTTTGCCGCCGGCGTGTGAATCCGCTCGCCTTGAGAGGAGCCAGGGCCTTGGCCAGGGCCTTGGCCAGGGCCGCGGGCAGGAAGTCGTCGGCGTCGTCGGCGTCGTCCTGGTGATAGCGGCGCAGCACGCGCGTGGCCGCCATGGCCCACCGGCCGAGCAGCAGCAGACGCCGAGCGGTAGGTACACCAAGTACACGAGGAGGACCGGGTTGGGCCGGGCCCGGCCAGGCCCGCACGTAAGTACACAATGTACAATGTACAGCCCGCACTGACCGGGCCGGGCCGGCCTTGAAGGACTTAATCAACTTTCTGACGTTGTGAGGTTGGTCGGCCCCCCTGATAGGTGTGTTGTGTATGCATGTGTCACATCTGTCTGTATACAAGTCCGCAAGTGTGTTTGTGCGCGCGCGTGTGTGTGTGCATGTGTGTGTGTCCGCGCTGGCGTATGCTAATCATAGTCGGGCCGTCCGGGCCGCGGGCCGCGCCATTGTCGTTCGCCGGGTGCGTTCCTTCGATCCTCGGCTCCTTCCCGCCGCACTTTCCCCTCGACTGTCGGCACGCCGACGACGGCACGCCGCTAGGGCCGCCAGGCCATTAGGTTGCGCGTTGGCGTCGCCGGTCCAAAATAATTGGCCGCTTTTCGCGTTTGATTGAGATGGCGCGCTGAGCGCGGATGGCGGATGGCGGGTCTGCGTGGATGTGGAACGTGGAACACACTCAAGGCGCGGCCACCATTATCTCTCTGGCGAGGCGCCGCTCTCGGACCGGTGGTGCCTCTCGGCCTGGTTGGCGTGGTTCGGGTTCGACTAGGAACGCGCAGAAGTGCGCGGGTGCCGCCCCGCCCCGCCCCGCCCCGCCCCGCCCCGCCCCGCCCCGCCCCCGCCCGCCCCGCCCCGCCGCCCCCCAGAATGTCACACCGATGCTAATGCTGCCGTTCCGGCCGTTCCGCTTAGGGCGCTGCGCTTCCGCTGCTTCCGCCGTGTTGACGGTGTAGACGGTGTAGACGGCGTTGACGAGGCAAGACGCAGCTGGAGACTGCTTCCGAGGAACTGCAGTCGCTCCACCGCTCCGTCTCACTCGCCCTCGCGCGGCTTCCCGTCGCGGCGCGAGAGAGACGGAGACTGGCTCGTCATCAAGTTCAACAGCCCGAATCGCGCGTTCGAACCGCGGCGCGGCGGCACGGCGGCGCCAGCCACACGGCCGGATAGGAAACCGAAAGGCGGTGTCCTGTCGGCCTGCGGGGCGATAGCCTCTGACGTGTAATTAATGAGCTCGCGAAATTTCGACTCGATCTGTCAAAGCCGGCGGAACCGCTTACGATCTCGGACGGACTGACGGACGGGCCGGCGGCCACCGAAAGAGTTCACTTGGCTTGGCTCCTCGCTGCCGCCCTGCCGCCGGTCGACCGGACAAAATGGAGGAAATATCTTAAGCTCAACCGGCGGGCGGATCGTCGGAAAAGCGCAAATAGCCTCATTCCCAGCGAAGGCCGTCGTCAGCGGAGAGACTCCGAACAGCGCGGCCGTCGCTCTGTTTCGCTCCCTCCCCGCCGGAGCGTGCAAGCGCGTCGCGAGTGCGAGAGAGACAGCGGCCGCTCGGAGTCGACCGCGCCGCCGTCCCGCCGTCTTGTAATTACGGTCCGCATAAACCGTCCAAATCGGCGCCGTGGTGACGGCAAATCGAAATTTGGCGATGATAACCATGACGACGGCGAGGTCTGGCGGCGCCACGCCCCGCCCGCTCCGCCGCGACCCGGCGGCAGGCCTGCCCTAATGAATTATGTAGCAGGACCGGCACTTCTTGAGCACGACCCGGACGGGCCGGCCGGCTGGAGCGCCTGCGAACTGCCGGGTAGGCCGACCCGCCGAGCACGCCGACGTCGCAGGCGGTCGGTGTTGCCTACCTTCCTGTTCGCAGGCGCCCCGGGACTTTGCGGACACCGCCGCCGTCGCCGAGGTGCCGCCGCGGGCCGTGGTCGACGCCGTGGTCGACGCCGCGCTCGACGCGTCGCTCTAGCGTGAGCTTGCTCGCGTGCTTGTCCCGTTGACTTGTAAATTGGACGTCATCCCGACTGAAAAGGATTTGCTTACATTAGACTGGGAAATGGAGCAGCGGGGCGGGGCGGCAAAGCGTGCGCCGCGGCTCAAAACAAACTTCCGATTTGGCCGCAGACATCGCCAAGCTGCCCGTGTTCGAACACAGCATGAGGGCCGGCCGACCTCCGCGGATTCGGCTGTGGCGTGGCGGTTTTTGTTGTTGCCGTTGTTGTTTCTGTTGTTGTTGCTGTTGCTGCTGCTGCCGCTGCTGTTGTTGTCGTCTGTTTTTGATGCCGTTTGTTGATGCCGCTCCGTCCAATAACCCACCAACCTGCCGCTGCTTACACACGAGGTACACCCGGTACTCGGTGATAACAGCCTTTCCCGGACTTCCCCCTCCGCAGGTCCCCCCCCCACACACACACACACTGGCGCGGGATTCGGTACTCCTTTTGCGCAGATTTTCATCAAGCGCGCGCGTCCCCTTGTATGCTTACCGTACAACGCAAACCTCGCCTGGATTGGCAATTATTGCTTCTTTTTTCGCGCGATGTGTATGGGTGTATTTGTCTATGAGTGTGCGCGCGCGCGCGTGTGTGTGTGTGCGCGTGTGCGTGTGTGTCACTGCTGCGCCATCGTGATGGGAATGGACGCACCTAGCTAATGCAAGGCGCCGTGTCGGCCGTGTCGTGTCGCGGCGTTCGGACGAGGAGGTATATCATGGCGAGGGGATCCAGTTTCAACCTATAGCAGCAGGGGCGCGGGGCGGGGCGCGGTGTGGGTTGCGGGGAGTGGATAGCTCCCCTATTGCGAAACGGCTCCGAGGGGCGTAAGTCTTTTTCGCGTTCCGCCTGTCTGTCTGTCTGTCTGTCTGTCTGTCTGTCTGTCCGTCTGCCTGTCTGTCCGTCTGCCTGTCTATCCGTCTGTCTGTCTGTCCGTCCGTCCGCCTTCCACTGAGCCTGCAGTGGCGCGCCATGGCGGTCCCGGGGAGTGACTGCAGCAGCCCCCCGTTGGATTAACCGCGATTTAAACAGCTTGATTGGAAGGCTGCCGCTCCGCCACCGACGAGGCTGTGCGGTTCTCTCTCTCTCTCTCTCTCTCTCTCTCTCTCTCTCTCTCGCACCCCACCCTATGAGTGCGAGAGAGACAGAGCAGCGCTGTTCGTGAGCAGCCCGCTGTCTGTGACTCGAGGTGCCCCTCCCTCTATCTCGCCTATCTCGTCCTTGTGTTCCGCAGTGGCTTGCCGTGGCCTCGGCGGCGGACCCTGGCCCGCCCTGGCCGAGACTGGAGTGGAGAATAGGGAATTGGTTCCCGCAGTCAGGGGCCCCGGGCCGGGCCCCGCCTGGCACAGGGCACAAGGCCCCGGGCAGCCGCGGGCAGCCAAGAAGCCCAGGGAGACAAGAAACACTAACCTTGCCCAATCCGCACATACTAACACTCTCTCACACTCACTCACAGGAACACTGACACACATACACATACACATGCACAAACACAAACTCACTGCGTCCT